GTGCGTAAGATGGTCGTATTCGCTTCGACTATAGATAAGAATGTCGTCGAAGTAGACCACTACAAAATTCCCAATGAAGGCTCTTAGTACATGGCTCATGAGTCGCATGAACGTACTTGGGGCATTCGTAAGCCCGAAGGGCATCACGAGCCACTCGTAGAGGCCTTGCTTCGTTTTCAAGGCGGTTTTCCATTCATCGCCTTCTCTTGTTCGTACTTGATGGTATCCACTCTTAAGATCGATCTTGGAGAAGATCGTGGCTCCACTGAGTTCGTCGAGCATGTCATCAAGCCGAGGTATGGGATGTCGGTACTTGACCGTGATGTTGTTGATGGCGCGGCAATCCACACACATCCTCCAAGTCCCGTCCGTTTTCGGCACAAGTAGTACGGGTACAGCGCAAGGACTGAGACTTTCTCGGATATAACCCTTACTCATTAGCTCTTGGACTTGTTTCTCGAGCTCTCGGTCTCTTCAGGGTTCATCCGGTACACGGGCCGGTTAGGCAACGGTGCTCCAGACACTAGATCGATTTGGTGTTCAATCCCGCGTATAGGAGGTAATCCTGCAGGAATTTCATCCGGATATACATCGCTATAGTGCTCTAAGAGTCGGCTAACAGCAGGGCTATGAGTCGGTGTTTCCGAAGATAAGCTCAATTGATCCTTGAATACCAAGAGCAACACCGATTGTTCTTGACGAACAGCGCGCACGACATGACTAGCCTTTATATAGAAATTCTTTTTCTTCGGCTCAGAATCCTTGGTTAGTTTCAATTGCATCTCATGCACTTGAGATGGGCTCAGGGGCGCAAGCACAACCTTTCATTTGTCATACACGAAGGAATACTGGTTGGCTCGTCCGTCGTGGGTTACTTCCCGATCGAATTGCCATGGTCTTCCTAAAAGGATATGACCGGCTTGCATAGGAACGACGTCGCAAAGGACCTCGTCGCGATATTTTCCTATACTGAACGGAATTTTGACCCTTTCGGTCACTTTGAGTTCTCCGCTGTTATTAAGCCACTGCAGCTTGTATGGGTGCGGATGTTTTTCTGTGGATAGATCCAGCGTTTTCACCATATAGGCGCTGGCCACGTTGGTGCACGACCCACTATCAATAATCATTCCACATACTGTCTCTTCCGGAGTTACTAGCGTACTAAGTACTCGTCGAGTGACTAATAATTCACCGCTATCCGGGTAAGCGATCTCTTCCTCAAGATCGCCCGCCTCCTCCTCGTCTAATGACTCGTATTCTCCGCTGTCCGTAATAATCATTACCCTAGCATTTGGACAGTCACGAGCCATATGTCCCCTTCCCCGACATTTAAAACATATGATCTCCCGTGATCGTGGATCGCGTGTGGAGTCAGTTTGAGTTCGGGATTGCGAGGTTTCTGGAGCTTTCCCTTTATCCTTGTAACTTGGAAAGCTACGACCTTCGGTCGTTTCCTTTCGGGGTGTGGAGGTAGTCCTAGGGAGGGTAATGGGGTTGCTAGGCGAGGGTTTGGGCTTACTTAACCGGGCTTGCTTACGTTGGTTTTGCTTTTCGATCTGCACGGCCAAGTGTAAGAGCTCGTGGAGGTTTTGATATGGGTGGCGCTCGACCTTTCGAGCAATACTCTCGTTGAAGCCATCGAGGAACTGTGCCATCACGGTTTCCTCGTCCTCGTCCATCACTAATCTACTCCTAAGGTGCTCAAATTCCTCGAAATACTCTTCTACGGTCCTAGCACCTTGCGAAATCCTTCGATATTTTCGCTGGAGTTCGCGGTGGAAATGAGGTGGGATATAGCGTTTCCGCATTAACGCTTTCATTTCGCGCCAAGTGCCGATTGGCTCGATTTGAGCGCGGCGTCGTTCGGTCAGTTCTCGGTCCCACCAAGCTAAGGTGCTTTCAGCTAATTGAGCCGCCGCGTATTGGACTTGCCTACGGTCCGAATACGAATAACATTCAAATATGTTATCCATGCGACGTTCCCAATCGAGATACGCTTCCGGATCTATGCGACCTACGAACAATGGTGGTTTAAGCTTAAGGTCTCCCCCTTGACCCCGGATTGGTCTATAGTTATCATCCTCTACTTGGTTGGCCCATCGTTCGGGTCTAGCTCTGCGAGGTGGGTTCCTCTTAGGGATGTAATCGGGATCCGACTCCTCGTCGGACATTATCTCTCGGGGTCTGTGGTGTTGGTGCCTACGGGGCTCTCCTCTATCGGGAAGGTTATCTACCACTCTCTCTCTCGGCCTATGTCTTGGTCGGATATCGCTTTCTACATCGCTTGATAGATCGATAGGAGGGGGTTGGTTTTGCCTAGGGTGACCTATTGGTTCTTGCATATGCGGTTCGGGGGCCCGCTCGACCTCTAGCCTAGACAAGCGGTCCATAATCATCTGTAAGGATCTAAAAATATCGTTGTTGCTTGGTTCTCGGTTAGAACCTTCTCTAGAGGGCTCGGGGTTACTCATTGTTCGCTCAAGTCTCGCACAATGCAAATACTTCACGCAACGAACAAAAGACCCTATACTAACGTGCGAATCACTCAACAAATGTCGTGCTTGCCACTCAAATAAATCAAACAGCGAGTTATGTCAACCGAAAACAAAGATGATGCACGAGATGATGTTTTAAGAGGATGGTCGGATTTCACTCAACGCAAGAAACATTCAACGTGCAATGTGGACAGATTCAATATGTTCGTGCTTACTATGGCAACTATGTTACTAAGCCAATCTAGATGTCGGAATGGATTAAACTTATATAGGATGACGGAACAATGAACATGCAATAGATTTCTAACCGCACGATAACAGTTCAAGGGAACTAATCGAATCGAATCGCAAGCAAATTCACAATGGTGTATGAACAGATTCGTGCGTGCAATCGATCAAGTGATGTTCGGCTATTAATGGATGTTCAACCTAGTGGAAATCAAGGACAATCACGGCGCAACACAGCACAACAAACACAATCAATAATAACAAAGTTCAGAAACTCGAGTTGGAAGGATCTCACCCGAGTGGAGTGTTGGCGACGATGTGGTGTGCTATTCCGTTTGCTTGAGATCGATGTTAGGAATCTGGTCGTAGTTGCAAAGTCTGCGAAATGGATGGTGGAATGGATCAGCCCTTACCAAGGAACAAGACTTGACAAATTTTGTATTTTGTTTTCGGATTTTGAAACAAAGAAACGAAAAGAAGTAAAATGCAAACAAGGATAGATCTCACCCGATTTGTGTGATGTCCGATGGTAGGAGCTAAGCTCTGATACCAAAATGATATACGCCCAGATTGTCACATGGACTAGCGTCATGACTTGAATCTCATATGGCGGTTCCATGATTGGATCCTAAGACCTGAGATATCTACAGAATCCAACATGAGGAGTTGGTGCTTTGAATACGTCAAACGTCCTGCGTAACAGGAGGACTATAAAGGCGTGTATCAGGTACGAAACGAATCATGTGCTGGATTGCAGATAGTCAATAAGGGATTTGTACCTCTCGTAAAAGAGAGAGATATCGCTGGGCCCCTCGTGTGAGCGAGACTGTAGAAATGTGTGGCCGCACTATAGACGAATCGTCTATTTCACACAGTCGAACTCAGTGAACGAGAAAGCAGTCGAATCAGATAAGGTGGCTTGTTCATGCCTTATATTCGACATATGATATCGTGATACAAAAGGATCATCAACCGGAATCATCACTGGCGTTCGTAAGATCACGAACAAACTCTATTCGAGATAGGTAGTCATAGTGTCTTGCTAGAGACCGCCTATGACTTGTATATCCGAAATAGAGATTTCGGGTTATACTGCTATATCGGATGAGCCTACAGGGTCACACACACAGGAAAGGACAAATACGCGAGAAGAGACGAGAAAATCCCGGTGGAGCGGAGGCCAGACCGACCGGTCTAGAAGGTCTAGACCGATCGGTCCAGCCAACCCAGACCGATCGGTCCAGAGACGTGGACCGGTCGGTCCGGAGATAACGTGTGACAGTCACACGGTCTGGAAAGTGTTCCGGACCGATCGGTCCGGACCTATGGACCGATCGGTCCAGACGTAAAAGCTCCACACCGATCGGTCCAGACGTCGGGATTTACTAAACTCGCTCTAATTAGGGTTTTAAGTGGGATTAACTTTGGAGAACGCCTCCGAACTCTCTTGGTACGATTTTCAGACCCTATTGAGAGGTTTTGAGAGTGGAAAAACTAAGAGAGAGATCCCTAAAACCCTTGCGCAAAGAAGAAAGCGTTCTTCAGTCCTAGCAGACAAGTACCAACCGTTGGAATCCTTTCCGCCGTGTGGATACGTGTAGAGGGCAAGGTATTCTTCCTGCCTATAGTGATCGGACGAACACATCAATTGATACAGGCCCCGGATGCAGGTGGACGCGTCTATGATGGGAATGAACTCAAACGGATGGCAGTTCAATACTACCAAAATATTTTGGGATCTACTGAAGCTAATGTTAATTGTTGGACAATTGCACAACTACAAGATCTGCTTCAAACTCGATGCCCAACCCATTTGAAGGCTACCCTGGCAAAGTTACCTGATGAAGCAGAAATCAAAATGACAGTTTTCTCAGGGAAAGGTGCCTGGACCAGACGGATGTTCAGCTGAATTCTTCATGGAATGTTGGGATTTAGTTGGTGATGACATCACAAGAGCGGTGCAGGAGTTTTTCTACTCTGGGTCTTTACTTCAGCAGTGGAACACTACTCTTATTGCATTGATTCCGAAGATCAGGAATGCAACCCACTTACGTGACTTCAGACCGGTGTCGTGTTGCAACACGATATACAAAATTGTATAAAAAATACTAGCGAAAAGAATCAAGCAAGTTATTCCCCTGATAACTCGGCCTGATCTCTTAGGAATTAGATTCGCTCTTGAGATCCCAGGAAAACCCAACAGTGGTATCAGAGCCTGGTTGCTCTGCATGATTTTGTTAGAACCCGATCACGCACGTTATAGGATTTGAATTGTTTGAATCCATGTTTGCTTTGATGCTATGTATGATTTGATTGTGGATCTAGAGTAGATTTTCTGTTCATTGTTGCATAGTGTGCAAGAGCTTCGAATTCTGAGTTCGCAGGCGAAAACGGAGTCGAATTCGGGTCTGAAACGGGGCAGAATTGACGAAAACGAGATCTGATCACGTTTTCGCCTAGACCGATCGGTCTGGTCTTCTGAACCGATCGGCCTAGGGTTTCGCAAGTCGGTTGGACCGACAGGTCCGGACTAAGCGGTCTGCATGTGTAGACCGATCGGTCTGGACCAAGACCGATCAGTCTGGACCATTCCGGACCGAAAGGCCTGGACCGAACTTGACCCGAGATCGAGCCGTGTAGTCCGATCAGTCTAGGCCTAGACCGATCGGTCTGGATCCCGAGGCTCCACCAAAATTTGGTTTTTCATTTCGGGATCTGTTTTGAGCAATCGTTGCTTAAACCGGTCAACTGTGATTCAGAAATAGCATGATTCGTTCATTTGGATGATCCATAGTGAATGAATGCATATAACTTAATCAAGATATTAGATATGCTTGATTGAGTGGGAGCTTAGGGATTGGGATTACATAATCGAATGGATAGTCTATTCGGATTATGTACAATCGTTCCAAAGAAACCAGTTAGATCGAGGAGCTCTACGAGTAAAGCACTTGTCAAGGCCTCGATCGTACGTGTCATGGGCCATGCCAAAACTGGGTGTGCCGAATTATCTTGGTGAGGCAAGATGGAGAAATGCTGGTTCTCATAGCTTGAAAGTAGATGCTTGATCTAAGTGTGGTTTCGAAAATCCCTTGTTTATGTAATGCTAAGCGTGTACCTCCCATTATTAAAGCGCCTGTCAAGGCATCGATCGTCCGTAACACGGGTCATGCCAAAGCTGAGCGTGCCGGATTATCTTTGTGAGGCAGCGTGGGAAATCGTGGTTCCCGCAGCTTGAATATGGTTTACCTTAGGTTAAGTTGTCAAGTTTGACTTGAGACTTAATGGTACAGATGAGACGAGTATGCAATGATATTCGATATCATAGTCTCATAAAAGATCTAAGAGTCACATTGGATGTGATTGACATTAGATGTCTACCTAAATAGCATAAGACTGAGTGTAAAAACTTATTCTTATGTGAAATACGGATCTTAGTCCCATATAGAGAATTATTGTAGGGTTATTTTTCTTTATGGGAATATAGCTTGTATATGCATCATGTTGTCATTGATTGGTGATGGACTAGCTGGTAGTAGATCATTAATGTATTGTCGTTGATTGATGATGGACTAGCTGGTAGTAGATCATTCATACAATCTGCAATTTTGTTTTGTTCGCTCTGTTTTGTCTCTTTTTGTAGGACATGAGCTCATCTTTGCATCTGTGTTGTCATTGTTTGATGATGGACTAGCTGGTAGTAGATCATTGATACAATCTGCAATTTTGTTTTGTTCGTTCTGTTTTGTCTCTTTTGTAGACATGGCGTCAACCGGTAGCGTACCGAGTTTGACGATGCGATCTATCATTGAGAAGGATAAATTGACTGGGACGAACTTCTTGGACTGGTATCGTAACTTGAGAATTGTTCTCAAGCACGATAAGAAGTCGTACGTCCTGGAAGGGGCTTTACCAGCAGAGCCTGCGGCCAATGCCACGAGAGCCGTCAAAGATGTTTGGTTGAAGCATCAGACTGACGACAATGAGATCTCCTGTCTCATGTTGGGAAGCATGGCCCCGAATCTGTAAAAGCAGTTTGAGGGGAAGAGAGTGTTTGATATGATCGAACAGCTCAAGACCATGTTTCAGGAGCTAGCGCGTACTGAAAAGTACAAGACGCTGAAAGCTCTGGTGAAGACGGAGATGCCGAGAGGTAGCTCTGTCAACACCCACGTCCTCAACATGAGAGCTCATGTTGAAGAACTTGAGCGTATGGGAGTGAACCTCGATGGTGACTTAGTTGCAGACTTGATCCTGATGTCATTACCCGAGGACTATAACCAGTTCGTGATGCAGTACCATATGCACGGGATGACTAAGAGCTTAGCCGAACTGCATGGGATGCTGAAATCGGCCGAGCAGGATATCGTGGTGCCCAAGACTGTGCTTGCTGTTGAGAACAACTCCAGCAAGAAGCGGCGGGGCAAAGCCAAAAAGAATGTGGCGAAGAAGGCAAAAGTTGCCTCTACGCCTAAGCCTAAGCCCGATAACGGTGACTGTCATTACTGCGGAGTGTCTGGACACTGGAAGCGTAATTGTCATCTTTACTTTGAGGATCTGAAGGATAAGAAGCTTGGTGAAGCTT